CATGAACCTCCAAGTAGGGTTTCAAGCTACACGCTACAAGGTCTGCCAGACTGGAGGTTTAGATGAAGCTGATTACCTGGCCGTAGCCCATATACATATACCCAGAAAGGAGACTTGGTTCTTTTTTTTGCGGAAACTCCCACCGTCCATCCACCTAGAGTAGGGTTAAGTTTAGGGTGTACAGAACTTGCGTTCCCTGAGTCTACTCCGTATCCACGGATTGATAAAACTCGCTCGCCTGCGTTCTTCCTGCCCGATGAACCGACAAACCCGCAACCATGACAAGCCCTGACCACGAACTCTGAAACCCCAAAGCCAAAACCATAAAACCCCAAAGCCCTCAATGCTAAATGTGTCGGAGTTGAGGTGAGATGAAGGTTTCAGTACAGTTCCACAGAAGCCAGTGGGACTTTTGAAACCGGCGGAATTCCACTTGAAACACAAGCCCCAAACCCTTAAACCCAACCTGCATACCGCAAGCGCAGCCGAGGCTCATCTATCCCCTGTGACTTTTCCTTCTTCTTGTACACCACTTTGCCATGATTCGTGGAATCTGGCACCTCGCGGGCAGTTTCTCGGGCAGTTTTTGCAAAATAAGGTCCTTCCTATCTTCTTCTTACGTGTGGTGACAGCGGGCTTAAACAGCGAGCAGGCGGAGGCGTGCACTGCAACTTGAATACTTGGCATGGATGAGCCACAACTAACAAAAGTCTACAGGCTCTGTTCTGCAAGGATTTCTACAAGAGTTCCATGAGGTTTCTATCTATATGCTTCTTCGGATTCTACACAAGACCGGGGCAAGCAAGGCTCGGCATCGTGTGGCGGATGTCCTCCCTAACCCGAATCGAAGCCTTGAACCCTATGCAAGCCTGCTTGGCCAGAGAAGATCCGTAAAGCCTATGAATCGGTGCTCCGATGAGGCTTTGCGCAAGTCTTGATTCGAGGTCAACATTTGTCACAACCTTTCAATCAAAACTCTGGGGCCAGGCACATACTCACCCGCAATGATGCCGCTGATCGTCACATCCTTATGCAGGGTGAGCACAGCACCGAAAGCATCAGTCAAACGGTGCTTGGCATAGCAGACAACTCGACTTCCAGACCCTAAGCCTGACGTGTCCCCCAAGTGGCTTCTGCCACCTCTCCAAAGTCTCAGATGAGGGACAGAGCAGCCACTCACTTTCAGCGGCGGCAGCGGTGCCTTCTTCGAGGCCTTCAGTTTAGGGCCCAAGGCAAGAGGGAGTTAGTCTGCTTCTGTCCAGAGTAGACGCAATGCCAGCCTCGCAATCATAACAAACCTACAGCCGCGAATTCTCAAAGCCCCAACCTCAACCTCCGACGAACCCCAAACCCGAAGGTCTCAAGAGCCAAAAGTTCCGTGTAGCCTTGTCAGACGTCTGTTTCTCCGACGGCTTGCTTGCCTTGGCTCCGGTGACTCGTTCGCGAAACCCCACCTGCACATCTGCCCTTGGAACATATCCAGACTCGTCTGACTGGGGTCTCTCGATCCAAAGCCACAGGTCCCAAACACAACGACAGAAGGGCTTCTTATGAGAAACGGGCAGGCAGGTTGCGGGCATCGCGGCCGCAGCCCAGGCGCCCGACCCAGGTGCTCTCGTAGGTTGAATGCCCAAGTCTAAAGACAGAGCCGCTAACAGTAGGGAGCTTGGTAGAGTGTCATGTCCGGGGGCTTACTTGCTGCAGCTGGCTGTGATTTCGGGTGGCCAGGCCCTCACAGCAGTGGCGGATCTCGGAGGCACGGCAAACTGAGCCAAGTGGGCAGGCGGGAAGGCGGCAGTGAAGCGACACCTCAAAGACCATTTCCCCCGCTTCCTTTCGAGGTCTTTGCTAGCACCATGGGCAAACATGAATATCATGACCGTCAGCATCGTTCCCGACAATTGCGACTAAGAGGATGAGGACGACGGCTAGTCCTACGGCTGCTGCTGCTGCTGCTGCGGCTGCTTCTGATGCGTGATGCTAAGGCTGTATTGCTCGTGCTGATATGATGAATTCTTACTACTACCACTACTAATACTACCACTACCACTACCACTACCACTGTTGCTGCTGCTGCTGCTGCTGCTGCTGCTGCTGCTGCTGCTGCTGCTATTGCTACTATGAACCCCAAGCACTTGAGTAAAGCACATCCCGACGTCCTCTGTGGTGCAAAAGTAAGTTCAGGGCTCCATCGGCAGGATCTTGAGAAAAAGCTGGCAGGAGAGGCTTGAATGAATGGTCAACCCTTGAAATCCCGGCATCACAAGGCCCCTGGAGGTTTGCCTGCGCTCATGGAAGGCGGCCCATGGCTGTGGGTGCGATTGCACTGCTCTCTCGTGATGACAGGAAGAAGCCATAATGCTGGGATTATCGTCATAATCGTCACAGGAGGAAGAGTCAGAGAAGCAGTGAGGGAAGAACTTGCAGGGAGAACTGGGAGAAAAAACTTCTCCGTTCGTGCTGATAAGCTCCAGCCTATGGCAACGGGATACGTTGCAACGTCTCCGGTCAAAACCTGCAAGCCGGATGGCCTCTGGGACATCAAAGAGTCTTTTGTAACAACTTGGACCGTATAGCGCCGTAACACCCACTGCATGCAAGTCGCCAATTCCCGGAAGGCCTAGCCCTGGCGATGCAAGCCCCGTCATGAGTGAAGCCAAGTCTTTCACCATCGCTGCTCTTGTCATTATGCTTCTCACTAGTGGTACTACTATCGCTAGTCTTACTAGTACTCTCATCATGGTTGTTGTCGTTGTTGTAGCTGTTGCTGTTGCAGTTGGTGTTGGCGCTTCTGTTGCTGTTGCTGTGGGTGCTGTTGCTGTTGCCGGTGTTGTTGTTATGATTATTGTTATTGTTATTGTTGTTGTTGTTGTCATCATTACTATGTTTACGGTTGTTGAAGTCAATGCTTACTAGTACCAGTAGTATTTCTGTCTTTAGCATTTTTGCTTTTGACAATGGTGTTCTGTAGTGCCCCAAAGTCGCATGGTAATTAGTTGTTTTGCTCCAGCGTCCGACGTGAGCAGAACCCCAACCATCTGGTGCACTCTCGTTCAAAATCGTAACCTGATCTCAAGGGGTATACTCTAAACCCATGGCAACCCCCTCTGCGTTCTCACAACTCGGACATGCTAGCCGAGGTCTCATTCGGGTTCAGAGATTTCTAGCGATGCTGTTCTCTTGCACTTAGCAGCTTCAACCTCCAGGTAAGTCGGGGCAACCGGGGCATGTGCAACGCGGATGTTGTCATTGACAAGTGCTGGATCCCATTCTCAGGGGGCTGAAAACCCTAGTCCAGAAACAACGAAGTTTTAATTCTGGCAGGAATCAACATACCTATCGAGGTTAACGGCTGCCTGCCCAGCCCCCAACCTAAACCTTAAATCCAAAGCCCTCTGCATGGCTTGCCCAAACCTTACAAAGAAGCCAGGAAGGGTCGAACTTGCGTGAGGCGCTGCTCAAGATCCGGAGCTCGCTACATTGTAACATAGGGGCCTTGAGAAGTAGAAAGATATGGCTCTGCGGTGTCATCTGTTACATCCATATATCTTTACAGGAACTATACGGTGATAATATTTCTGATTGTTCAGGCCCAATTGTTCATTAGGCTTAGTAGGGACGGAACTCCTGTGGTGAGGCACTCAGGTCAATCCCAAAATGATCCTGACGAGGACCCGGAAGTGAAAGATCACCATACACCAAGTCCGAAGATATGGGGGTTTCCGAAAATAGGGGACCCTAATACAGTACCCTAGACAGTAGGATCCTTATTATAAGGACTCCAAAATAAGGTACCCCCAATTTTCGGAAACTCCCATAGGGGAATCACACGGGACTGACGCCCTCACCTCGCGGCTCTCACAGGATGCTATCCGGCAAAGGTTCACACCTCAAGTCGCCACCGCCGTCCCGCTCTGTCATGAACTTAGAGATCTGGTCCATCACACCCAAGGGCATAAAGTGCGTGTCTCGCATGGCCCGGATTCGTTTCTCCATGTCCGAGAGCTTCTGCATGTCGGAGAAAGCATGGTCCAAGGTGGACTCCAGAGCCCCGGGCGAGGAGAAGAAACCGATTTTCTCCTCGGTCCAAAGATCCCGGTAGAAGAGCCACGGCCCCTTCTCATGGATGTAGACTGGGATAAAACCCATCTGAAACAGCTCCTCTGTCCGGTAAGCATTCCGTCCGAAACCACGGGGGGAGAGATTCAGGCTCGTGTTCGTCATGACCTCCTTCCAGTCGCTGCCCTTACCTATCCTCACGGTTTTGTTCCTCAGCTTGCCCCACCTTTCTGCCATGGCCTTCATGGTTGGCCGGGAGCCCTTTGGTCCATGATCTAAGGAGCCCATGAAGGAAACCGCATATGTCCGCTCCGGTAGCGGAGTCGCTTGAACTGGCGCTTCAATCTGCTTGAATAGTGGCAGGGGAACATGACCGTAGCCACCGGCACTCAGCACCAGCATATTTGGGAAGTCCGTCTGCCTGAATGGAACTAGTTTCCGGTCTGGCCAATGGCCAAAGATGCCATCGTCGCACTGAGATACTGCTAGGTACAGCACATTGGGCCGCAGTGTTTGGTTCAGAGTTTCAAGGGTACCTTTCGGGTACCGATAAAAATGTGGAATAAAGATGTCCAGAAAAGGAAAGAGGATCGGAATATACGGCCCAAAGATATCCCGAAGCCGTGTTCCATTCTTGCGGTTCTTCCATATGGCGCTGAACCACCAGATCCAGTAGTTCTCCAGCCATGGGCCGCAGAAGCCAGCTGAAATTTTGCCGCAGAGTGGTTTCACCCCTTTGGTGAACTGGCTCATGGTTCGATTCAACTCTTCGAAGTGCTCTTCAGCATCATCAGGGTACTGAAAGCGCTCGAGGTCAGGATTCGTCTGTCTCAGGCATTCCATGGCCTTCGCGTTGAAAGCACTGCTGCTGGGATCATGGGGGTACCTATAGTCGTCAGCCGAGAACAGGCCAAGTTTGGCCTGAGTCGCCGGAGGCAGCACCGGCGTTGTCGCTGCCGTCATCGTCGCTGCCGTCGTCGTCGTCGCCGCCGTCGTCGGCGCCGCAGTCGTCGGCCGGGTTGCGGAAGGTCTCAAGGCAGGAGCCGGGATTGTGGACGTTGAAGGCCGAGCGTTGACGAGATGCGGCAGGTCTTGGGCATCAGGGGCTCCAACGCTTGGACTTGCAACAGGTTGTCGCAAAGCACCGGCAGGGGGCGCAGTTTTCTCTCCACTGGAAACCATCGTGTGCTTCTCCCAGAGGGTGCCGGCGACAAAAATGGCGATGCCGCATACAATTCCGGCAAGCAGGGAGAGGCAGTTTCCTAGGCTGTCCAAAGCAGATGCACATGATCGGCAAATTGTACTGCACTGACACATCTCCTGCGCGATCACATGTTAAGCCTGGAAGCGCCGGCGGCCCTCCTGCACCTTCAGAACATCTACCTCGTCGACGTTCTTCACCTCGCGTTTGTTCCAGTTCCAGGCTCCAGATGGCTCGATACCCTTTGCTGAACCCAGGCTCTGAGAATCAGCTGGGAAGTCGGCCACACAGGCTCGATACCCTAAACCCTGAACCCCTAAACCACCCCGTCTACAATCTGCAGTCAGAACCACTGGGAGGGCTCACCCTGCCGGAGGCGAAAGGTCAACACTGCTGTGGAGAGGCTTCCGTTTTCACCTCTTCAACCAACATGGAGCTTAGTCCAAAAGGGCACAAAACTCCGTCAGAGTCTCTGAGGCGTCTCACCACATACCGGAGCGTCGCACATCTACACTGATATGATTCCTTCATTTCTTTCTGCAAGTACTGAGCTTATCCTGTATATTTCTATCGATCTTTAAACCCTATTAAATTTAGAAGCCCTCAATCCTGTCATCAACCTCAAGCCCGAATAAAACTGCTCCAACTCCTACAGACCCAAGGCCGCCCCAACCTGGGACTTGGCTCCGATCAGAGGCTCGCCCTCCTCTGCCTCCTCCTCCGGGAACATCGGGGCCTTAAGAATTAGACCAGGGTTCCTTTTTCAAGGATTACTACATGGATAAAATATAGGGACCTTAAGAATTTTGATAGGGTGCCGCTTAAGGATTACATGGGCAACATATAGGGGCCTGAAATATGAGTTCCGAATTGGAATCGGGTTCTGGTGTACATTGCAGAAACTTGCCTTGCAGCATACTTTTTCTTCTGAGGAGGCCGAAGGAATTATTCGGGTAACTGTTCGGGCTTCTTTGTGACATGCATTTACATACCATTACCTGCACGACCCCACTTCATCAGCCGTACCCTCCTCCTCATCCTCATCCCACATGCAAACCTGCATGTCCAGGTATGCATGTGGACGTGTATATGTGCGCATATGCAGTATCTAAACCCGCATAGCTGAACCAAGAGAAGTTCTTCAACACTACATTCACTACATCCAAACCTAGCCTACAGTGTCATGTCGTACCTGTCGGCATGAAGCCCCAGTCCTCCGTGGTGTTTCCATCACCGGCGTTCGGCACGGGCTGAGGCTTTGGATCCGGCATGGCACGAGGGCTACATCGGCTTCAGGTTGCCTGCAATCCCAGCAAAAGTCCGAATCGCTGGGTTGATGAAGCACGGATTGTGTCAACACTTTGTTGCCTTGTTCTATACTCCTTCACGCATCGTCATGGTGCTGTGAGCTCGAGAGAAACCGGAGACCGAATGCTTGGCTTCACATCTGTTGTGTAATGGCCCACCTCGAAGAAGACAGCTCCAAACCCTTGAACCCTACAGTAAAGCAACAAAACCCGCCCCCATCCCTTCCACCCTTCCCAAACCCCCGCTTCCGCTCTAAACCCTAAACCCCAAAGCAACGAAGTTCGCCCCGGTTGCATTGACCGAACTCTTCGGAGGATCTGTGCTTCGTTCGAGTCTACAGGCTCCGGCGTGGCTAGGTCACGCTAGGTCTCTGCCTGTGCCCACAATGCAGGATTTCATGCTTGGGAATGTCAGAGTTTCAAGCCGGAGAAGGGGGTTTAGGAGCGGGCGACAAGCGGAGCTGAATAACTTCTCGCAGCCGACACTTCGAGACTTGAGCTCCCGTCGATCCGAGTCGAAGGAGCCCTGCTGCTAGAAGCTTCGGGCGACGCTGTCAAGTAGCGTCTCGCAGAGATCAGTATCTCGTCCTGTCATCTGACGATGCTTGCCGGCAAGGGTTCACACCTCAGATCGCCACCGCCGTCCCGTTCTGTCATAAACTTGTAGATCTGGTCCAGCACGCCCAGGGGCAGAAAGTGAGTCTTGCGCATGGCCCGGATGCGCTTCTCCATGTCCATCAGCTTGGGAATATCAGAAAAAGCGTGATCCAAGGTCGACTCCAATTCGTTGACTGTGGAGGAGAAGCCAATCCTCTCTTTGGTCCACAAGTCTCTGTAGAAGAGCCATGGCCCCTCTTCGTGGATATAGACAGGTATCAAGCCCATCTGCAAGAGTTCTCCAGTTCGGTAGGAGCTGCGTCCGAAACCGCGGGGAGAGAGATTCAGGGCAGTGTTCGTCATGACCTCCTTCCAGTCTCTGCCGAAACCTATCTTCACTGTCTTGTTTCTCAGCTTGCCCCACTTCTCTGCCTGTAGCTTCATGTGTGGGCGACACGTACGCGGACCATGATCCAAGGAGCCCATGAAGGAAACAGCGTATGCCCTGTCGGAGATTGGCATCGTCTCTGCTGGATCTTCCGACTGCTTTAGCATGGGAAGAGGAACATGGCCATAGCCACCAGCGCTGAGTACCAGCATGTTCGGGAAGTCCGTCTGCCTGAACTTGACAAATTTCCGATCTGGCCAGTGGCCGAAGATGCCGTTATCACTCTGAGACACGGCTATGTACAGCACATTGGGCCGCATCGTCTGGTTCAACGCTTCCAGCAGTCCAGGAGGGTACCTATAGAAATTTGGAACGAAAACATCCAGGAATGGAAAGAGGATCGGAATATACGGCCCAAAAATATCTCGAAGTCGGGTGCCGTTCCTACGGTTCTTCCATAAATCGCTGAATTGCCAGATCCAGTTGTTCTCGAGCCAGGGACCGCAAAAGCCAGCGGTGATTTTGCCACACAGCGGTTTCACATCAGTCGTAAACTTGGTCATCGTCTGGTTCAGCTTTTCGAAGTGCTCTTCAGCATCAGCGGGGTACTCCAAGTGCTGGAGGTCAGGAGTTGTTTGCCTGAGGCATTCCATGGCCTTCACGTTAAAGGCACGGCTGCTTGGATCATAGGGATACCTGAAATCGTCTGCTGAGAACAGGCTTAGTTTTCCAGGAGTCGTGGGCGGAAGCTCGGCAGGATCAGCGCTTGCAGAAGTTGGAGAATCAACCACCCTGGGCACGCCAATTTTCGGTTGTGCTGTTGCACCTCGTGCTTCCAGAGCTTCCAGAAAAGCATTCGCGATGAAGACTCCGATCAGTCCGATCGCTCCAACAAGCAAACAGCTTCGAGGTCCTCAGTTGCCGGAGCCAGTTGCTACTTGAAGCTGGGCATGCCAAGCTATGTAGCAAAGAAGCTGTACTACCTCACTAGTCCAGGCCTTGACCCAGCAGACACTGTACCTTGAGAGCTAAAACCCAAAGCCCTCAATCGGCAACCCCACACCCCTTTTCGCCTAAAGCCTGGACCCCGAATCCTACAGAGCTCATCTAAAATCTGCGTGTCCTTTGTTGCAAAGATAACACTGCTGCTGCTCCCCGTCTGTAGCCACAAGAGCCGGCCCTCCAGCACCTTCCACCTCGCAAGGCTTGTTACGGAACCGTTTAGGGATTTTTGGCCTCCCCGTTTAGGGTTTAGGGTTCGGGTTGATGATAAGGATACACACGAATTAGCAACAATGAGAATGACAACATCTAGTGGAAGTATGATAGCAAGTAGGGCCAGCGTAGAACCCAAACACCCAAGCCAGGAACCCCCATGAAGCTCCCGAAGACACGCCATGATTCGGATATGCTGACCACTAATAACAATAACAATATAGGAATAATAATCATCTAATAGTAATAAAAATAAGAATAACATCAAATAGTAATAATAACAACGACGACAATAATACGAGTGGCACCCAAGAATGTCTAGGAAACTGCGGAGCACGGCTTGGGGAGGCGGCGACGCACAGGACTGTGGTGCGTTTAACTTGATGCCGGAACGCTAGTCGCGCTCAACATATGCAAGGCAGCCAGGAAAGCAACTCAAACACGGAGATGTCGGAAACAAGCGGCAAGTCGTATCTCAAATAATACGCGGCACTGTGCAACTTGCCCAACTTGGCAAGCTTAAAGACCCCTTCGAATATTTTCGAGCGGCAATTCTGCAAGATCACCCCAAACAGCGACTTCACTACGAAGAAGCCTCAAGAATGTGTGCCTTGGCCCCCACGAGCGGCTTCACCTCGGATTCCAAGGCCTGGGATTTCAAAGCCACTCAAAAGCCGAGACTGCGGAGGCATGTGAACATGTGTGGACATGGTTTGGACTCCGCACACTCGCTCGCAGCAGTATATATGATTGAGGGCTTCTGCTTTGGAGGTACATATAGGATCCAGCGTATGGGGATCGAGGAAGGGGGGTGGAGACTTGTTTGGAAAGCTCTTCTTCGACGCTTGCCAGCTGGCGCCATGGCAGGCATGGCTGGTGCAAGAGTTTTCACACCTCCGAAGCCGTGAACTGAAGCCCTGAGTCCTCAACCCATGTCCCAAAACCCTCCGGCAATCACTCAGCCCTGACCAAGATACCCTTTGCTAAACCCAAGGCCCTAAACTCTGATCCTTTTCAGCAGGCTTGTTGGTTCTCGCCTGGGCCAGCTGTCCATGTTCGCCAACAGGTGTAGACGCACTACTAAGCTCCATAACCGTAAACCCTAAATCCTAAACTCTGATCCTAAACCCTCAACCCTCAAACCCAAAGGCACCTAGAATCCTGAATCAATTGTCTTAGGGCCTTTTATGCGCGTGCCTCCAACTCCTGCTCGCTTCGATCGGTGTTGGGCACGATTCGAGGTGCTGGCTCGGGCATGGCGGCTCATCCCGATCCAGCAAGGGTCTATAATTATAAGGTTCTATACGTGCTTCAGAGTCGGGTCCCATAAAGGCATCCCAGAGAGATCACAGTGGGTTCTACACTATCCAGAACAGGCCCCAGAAAATGAAATGAGGATTGGGGGGGTATAATACACTATGATTACAATACATCTCCCCCACTCCCACAGCAGTGTTTTGGCGTATCCCCAAAGAACCATAACCTCATAAATCGTACGCTTCCCGGACTGCTATAGGCTTTACCGTTAAAGATAGGCAAAGATTAAGGGTGACCGTCTTCGGCTAACAAGTATGGCTCGGCAGCTCAGAGCTTTAGGCTTTCGGGCCGTGCTTTTTTAGTCCGTTCGAGTCTGAGCCACGATGGTCCAATTCGGGTTTCGATCTAGGCACGGACTTAGGCCAAAGCCCCAGCTGATTCGGGCTTTCTGCTTGGGGTAGGTTTGGGGCTTGAGGCTCGGAGTGGCGCGCGGAATCGGAGCCGAAACGTCACTTCCTGAATTTTCCAGCCCCGAAACCCTGATCATCAGCCTGACCACAGCCCTTAGCCAGTCAACTACAACCGATACTGCAGTGTCAAGGCTGGTTTAGTGTTGGGCTCGAGTGCGAGGGCCGGTACTGGGATGATGTAGGGGTCAACCTGCGCTTCCTCTGACTTTACCTGTTTGGTCAGGCGAGGTTTCGGGGGAAGGACTATGACTAGAACTCTCATAAAGACACAGGTAGAACCTGATTACCTGATGTCAAACCGCACCAGTTAGCAGACGACTGCCGTTTTGACTTTCAGTCCTTGCGCATTAGCTTTCAGCTGCAGCCTCTGCTGCAGCCACCTGCTCCATCAGTGCCTGGGCAACAGGATCCTCCATGCCGCTGTCGCCTGTGGCCTCTTCGATGACCTGGTTGCTGTCTGAGAGCTTGGCGGCCAGCTGATTTCCAGTAGACTGCGCCCGCAAGGGCTGCCTTGAGGCCTGCGAACCCCGGCCTTTGCCCTTCGTTGCTCTCCCAGGGGCCGCCAAGGCCTCGTAGGGTCTTTTGAAGCTGCGACGCGGCCCGTAGCCCGCATCAGCATTTTCAGGGTGATTCCAGAGCAGGAAAAATTGCCGGACAGCCTCCTGCAGAAAGTCCCAGTCCTTTGGTGGACGACCAATGCTTTGCGTGAGCACGGCAGGAATACAGGAAAACGGGTGCTCCTCTCCGAAAGGCGCCAGCAGCTCTTGAAAGAGCTGGACCACACTGTCCGCATTGAGCCGGCCCTCGGCCTGCTCCAGCACAGAGTAGGACTTGTTGATGGCGCTGTCTACCCAAGCCTTTGTGAAGAGCTCGACACGCTGTAGGTCTCCCATCCTTGGAGCTTCCGTTGCTTCCTTGAGGGCAATCCCATGGCTAGTCTTCAGCGCCTTGTACAACTTATTCCGAAGAGGCTCCTGGTCAGGAATCAAAGCACCTGCGGAGTCCCACATGGCCTTTTCGAGCAGACTTCGATCCATCAGCTGCTCGTACTTGCCGTTGAGGACCGCCTCCACTTCTGACCACTGCGCACGCTGCCCGCTACTCGAAAAGATCTCCCAGAAAGCCATACCGAAGGTCGAGGTCAAATCCATCTCAAAGAACCAAGGCTTGTCTCCACAGGCAGCAGTGAAGCCTTGCATGGCCGTGTCCACGAATTGCTCGGCCGCCTGACGCCAGTGGAGTGTCAGCAGCTCGGGGGCTTGAGCTCCTTTATACAAGTACCGGACTATGCGCTTGCAGAGCTCGGCTTGATCCCAGTCCTTTTCTTGGTCAGCGATCTTCTTGGTCGCCTTGTTCACTGATTTGTGTAATGCAGTGTGGACACGCTCCAACACTCTGTCCTGAGGTTCTACCGTTCCACGGGTGACCGGCGCATAGCCACCACCGTAACCTTTCGGAGTTAACCGCGGGGTTTTAGCCTTTGGTTGGTTTGGCGAGGCATTCCACTGGAGTCGGCCTGCTCCACCAGTCGCGTGTCCATATCCGCCCTTGTGCTGAACAGGCGCAGTTAGCCGGCTGGCTGCATCAGGCATCGCCGCTCGCACGTTCATAGCTCCCAGACCATTAGCGTCCTGGTACAGGAAGAAAGTGACATCTGCACCGATGCCGGAAAGCTCTTCCTGCACGTCCCCGCCGGCCATGTAGATACGGCCTTGATTCCTGTGAGCTTCAGGATGCTCCACGGGTTGCAGGGCCTGGATCCACCCAAAGTTGCCATGCCAATCCAGTACTTGTCCATGGACACGTTTTGTGCTGGCAAGCCTTCTTTGCTGGAGAGGTTGTGGACCAAGGCCTTTAGATGCTCCTCTCATGGCTCGCCAAGACAGCGGAACTGGCGACTCCACCGTACTTGAGATACCACCCCAAGGCTATCCTTCATGCAAACGTACCCTGGACCTAGAAGACGAAGGCCTGCAGCTTCCTCGATATCGGAGGGATCATGTAGCTCCTTAAGGATTGGTTGCATGTTGCTGGGCCCGGGAGACGGCATGATTCCTTGATCTTGAGCTAAGATGGCTTTTGGCTTACTTCCCCTAACTTCGGGCCTTCCGGGATTCTTCGTCTGCTCTGCGATGATAACGTGCGGCCCGACCCTTCTGATCAGGCCGGTAGCGGACACAGCGAGGCCCTGTGAAAAGAACTTCATTTTCACCACACAGTCTGTCGACGTCCCAATTGGCTTGGCCAGTTGCCTCTTCGAATGACAAACACTAGCAACCCTGCCACTGTGTTGGACGGAATTTATGAGAACTCAGGCTTTGTTTTGGATTGAAGGCAGGAGCTAGTCGCCATAAGGCCAGAAGGCTGCTCTCTTGCTGCGTCGTCAAACGCAGCTTGTAGCTGGCGGCCGGTCGTCTGGAGAGAAGGCACTTCATTAGGTATAGAAAGACTCGCATTGGGGATACCCATGTACGGCCCATGAGAGCAAAGAGCCCGGTTTGCAGTTGCAGCCTGAAGACTTGCCGCCAACCTGTGTCCATTTACAGAGCCTTCGTTTGCTACCACCTGGACTACACTAACTACACACACACACTCTCTCTCTCTCTCTGTTTTGGGCGGCAACAAAGGGTACAGAGTGATCACCTGAATGGAGCAAGGAAGGCCACGGCCCATGATGCAAGCCCCAGGTGCAGCAAAAAGCCTTCGGGCTGATTTGTGGCACCGGGGGGCACCATGAATTGCACGAAGGTGATGCGTGTCAGCCAGTGCTAGCCAGGTTGTCATCATCCGGAGTCGTCACCTCAGCCGAAGTCGTGGCGCCGTGTGTGAGCTTCCGAGGTGTAGCTATAGCCGTTAGTCTGTGGGCGAGACGACTACTACCACAGGCAAATGTGAGCTAGCATCTGGAATGAAACGTCTTTTGGAAAATGATGCTACGCATATAACAAATTAACGACTGTAAGCATGGCGGCCCGGAACTTGCCTTCTGCAAGCTTCTGCAGGTCTTTCTGCGGGCTTCGGAAATTCCAGGAAGGCCCTCACTCTTGAGCTACTCACCTATAGAAACAAGAAATGATGTAACCTAACAATCTAAGACTCACTTGCCTGACAAGACTTACTTAATCTCAACTTTCCACCCGCAGCCCCAAACCCTAAACCCTGCGATGGACCCTGCAAGCGCCCCACTGAACAGTGATCCTCGAGCGGCTGTCGGCTGCCCACCTGTTGCTAAGATTGGCTCCGCTTAGAGAGTCTACTGTAGGTCGTTTGTTTTTTCATGCCCGTTCCGACTGCAGCTGCTGTCGGAGAGCCCCAGGGGAGAGAGGCTTCTGGGGTTTCGGGTTTGATTTTTTGTCTCGCTCTGCACAGACAACACAAGTCCTACGGCCAGTCCAGCGTCCCCCCGAAGAAAACACCCGACACACTGTTACCAGTTCCAGGCAGGCGTAGGATTTTAAGTGCGTCGGGCCAGTTACAGTTTAAAGTCACCGTTACTATGAGGATATCATGAGGGTCATAAGAAAAGCTTTTCATTTTCAGGGAACGAAGGCAGATGTGCAAGCGATCTGCGGGAGGAGACGCATAATTGAGAAGACTATTTGCAAAAAGCTGCGTTTTGGGCCTCCAGCGTGCTTTCGAGCTTATGGTCAGCTTTCTTCTGCTGTTGAAACTCAAGTTCTAGGGGGTTTGCTGAGTCAACGGGATCCGAATCCAACTTTCGCCTCTTCACATCTAAACTGTCAGAGCAGATGTGGGGTTACTGCGCTTTTCAACGCGGCCTCCGGGCTGGACGCTGTCACCGTCACCTCGGCCAAGGCAGGAGTAGCCCCACCAACGGAAACAAGAACACGCCGAAGCCTTTGCTGCCATGGTGGTTCCTTCAGAAATGCAAGGCCGCCGAGCTCTTCACCGAACAAGCTACCTCGCCGCTGTGAGGTAGAGCGCGCTCCTGGAAAACATAAGAGATGATCATCATTGCACATGCTTCATGTCCTATCCACTCCCATGAGTCCTTGAAGCCCCTCAGCATTCCCTCCAAGCCCCACCCTGCAGCTATGATGCCTCTACCTCTGCGCTTCGCCACGCTCGAGTCACCTTGGTGTGCGGCGATCTTAGCAGGCTTCGGGCTTGGCATAATAATTACTGCAGGGTTTTGGGGAATTTTGTTAAAACATCATAAAGGGCCCCATGCAGAGTAGTATCAGTACTTCCTCAGGCCCGTTCATTCAGGTTTTCAGGGTAATGATTGCAACAGTCGGAAGCGCTGCTTCACGCCTGACTAGTAGTCTCCACAAAACTACGGCTACCAAATCCAGAAGGACCGGCAGACCAATTCCCGTAGCGCCTTCGCTAATCCGTTTTCTTGTCGTCCGATATGACCAGAAACCTTGAACCCCGTCGCCAGAAGCCTGGGCCTAAGCCTACGGATCATGCCCTCATACCACCATTTGCTAGCATCTTCTCGACCGCTGCAGCTTGAGGTGATTGCAGTGCTCCTGCTGGTTCCTACCAGTACAGCAGCTTCTGCGG